TTCCAGAAAGTACAAAATATGCAGAAACGATTAATAGTTTAAATTTTTAATTTCAACCAGGGTATGCCCTTGCAATATTAAAATTTGTTATTGACCTACATTCCGTGTACCTACTATTCATTCAAAATGAATGCATGGCAAAATGAAAACCATCTATCCTTCTTTGTTCAATACAACAGAAGTGAAAAAAAGAATAAGATAGATTACACGATCAGAACGTACTGGTTCCTGCCGACAAAGCAGGTAACAACATTGTCTTCGTTTGTAAGGCTCATTATATAAATTGCATTCATGAAGAACTTGGATTTAATTCTACAAGTGGTAATCCTACTTATACAAAAACTTCTCTTTCTAAGGAAAAAATTCTTCAAAATCACCTGTCAGTTTTGAATACTTTTAATATTCCACAGAGTCCAAATGAATCTGAACTACCTTTAGTTAGATATACCGTAAATCTGGAAATTTTTACGTCGATTTATTTTTGCGAATTTGGGTCAAAAAGCTGTTGATTTATTTTTACGCTTCAAATTTTTGCGAATTGTCACTGGTGCTAAAAATAAAAATCACTGAAGATTTTCATATCAGGTTATGTTTCAAATTAGTATGCACAGTAAGAATACCACCAGTATACTCGCAACGTGGCAAGATATTTCAAAATCGCTCCGAAACAATTTCGATAAAAATACAAAAGGATTTGCACTGGAAATAATTTCTAAATCAATTAAAAGAAACATTTCAGAGGTTGTGTATGCCTTTTAACCTAAAGTATAATCCAAATGAAGAAAAAATATAACTAATCTTCTCAAAGTTTGGTTTTTTCTTACCTAAAATTTACATGCCGCGTTTACATTTGGAACTTTCTAGTAAATGCACTGAGTTTGAGTTATCGCCCGTGTTGATAGACGGTTAGATAAAATGACATTTCATGGCAAATTAAATGATGGAAAATAATTGAAAAGGGGCATACCCCTCAGTGCTTGTCAAATCATCGGACGATATTGCATATAATGAGGGCAATTTACACGCACGGGTAATTAACTTGTAGTTACATATTAGACTAGATAGTGTAAACAGGTTTCTTTTTAAAATGACCGGTGCTTACCGACCCCTATTCACTGAGTTAAAAAAAAAAAGACACCAGTTCTCGGAAAAAAATTCTTCACATGTTGATTTATTTTTAAGAAAAATATTTTTGCGAATGCAATGCACGCGCAAAATTGCTAAAAATTTATCTACAGTAAAAATTTCCAGATTTACGGTATTGGATTCCGAAATTTCATAAGAATCCTTACAAACAAAGATACATTGCAGGTTCCAGTAAATGTTCAACCAAGCCTCTTTCCTTACTTCTCACTAAAATATTGACAGTAGTGAAGGAAAAACTTCAAGAGTACTGTACAACTATATATTCAAGAAGTGGTGTAAATCAGATGTGGATGCTTAAAAATTCTAAAGAACTTTTGGACAATTTGAAATCACAAGACTTTACAAAAATCAACAGCATAAAAACTTACGACTTTTCAACTTTATACACAACAATTCTCCACGAAAAATTAAAATCCAGGCTTCTTGATATAATTGACAGCTGCTTCTTAAAAAAAAACAGTTCTCGTAAGTTTACTTACCTCGTCATTGGTCATTTGAAAAATTATTTTGTTAAAACAGATTCTGATTGCACACATAAGTACTCTGAAGTTGACATCAAGAAGATGCTTGAGTTTCTGATTGACAATATCTATGTGGTTTTTGGAGACCATATATTCCAACAATCTATTGGAATTCCCATGGGTACAAATTGCGCTTTGTTATTGGCAGACTTATTTTTATATTCATATGAAGCAGAATTTATGCGGAATCTTTTACGTGAAAAGAAGAAAACACTTGCTTTGGCCTTCAACTCGACATTTAGATATATCGACGACGTATTGTCAATTAATAATGATAATGTCCATTCCTACGTCGATACGATATATCCTGGTGAGCTTGAGATAAAAGATACTACAGAGTCCGACACTTCTGCTTCATACTTGGATATAATACTTTAATAAGACACTAATGGTAATCTAACAACCAAGCTATATGATAAACGTCATGACTTTAATTTTTCTATCGTCAACTTCCCTTACTTATGCAGCAATGTACCTCGCAGCATTGTTAAGGCTTGAATAAGGGGGCGGGGCTTAATTTATACCGGAAAAGTATATTATGACATCATACAAAAATATGACATTCATGTTGTTCTCATAATTCGCGTAAATGAAGTAATTTGCAACCCTAAACAGTATTAACATAATAAACAACATTATAACTGATCAATGCATTATAAAAAATTGCTAGTTAAATCCCTTGTAGCTGCTAAGCACTCGTCGCAATGAACTTGTTAACATGACGTCATACTTGTAAAAAATGACGTTCTTCATGTGCTGTGAGAGGCAAATTGAGAAATTGTTTATCACCGAAAAATGTGTTTTATAATTAAATGAAATATTATTTATGTCTTCTAATGCTTATAGGCAAGATCACCGCAGCTTGTTTTTGCTAATTTTGTAAAAGTCAAATAAAACACTTTCATGTTGATGAATAATGTCATTTATTAAAATGACGATATAAATGTGAACAATTTAACAAACAAGAAGGGGGATCAGATTCACAAGCTTTGCTTATCAGTTACGTAAAAAATGATAATGTCTGATCCCCCAAAAATGACTAGAAAAAAGTATCTGTAAGACAAGACAATCAAAACATCATATTAAAAAGTTAGCAAATAGATGGCACATCAAAACAAAATAGGCAAACATCACAAGAAAAAGTTGGCAAAAAGAAGGTACATCAAAGACACAATCAAAACTTCAGAAGAAAAAGCTTGCAAAAAGATCGTAATCAAAACCAAATACATAGAAGCAGTAAAACAATTGAGTAAAAACTATAATATAATATAAATTTTACAAAACATTAATGATAATATTTTATGGATAGGAATGCTGGGGTGGAGGTGGGTCTTCAAAATAGACATGCTTCATGTTAGCGGTGGTGAGCGCGCGAGTGTGAATGACTCGCTGAGCTAACCACGTGACCTTACACAATCCCTCACGCAAGGCGTGGATCTGAGAATTTTCACAATTTACCAACGTAAATGTTTCTGGAAACCTCCAACAAATTATCGCATGAAATACATAAATTACAATTTTTATTCTAATAATTGTTGTTTTATGTCTTCTAATGCTTATAGGCAAGATCACCGCAGCTTGTTTTTGCTAATTTTGTAAAAGTCAAATAAAACACTTTCATGTTGATGAATAATGTCATTTATTAAAATGACGATATAAATGTGAACAATTTAAAAAACAAGAAGGGGGATCACATTCACAAGCTTTGCTTATCAGTTACGTAAAATATGATAATGTCTGATCCCCCAAAAATGACTAGAAAAAAGTATCTGTAAGACAAGACAATCAAAACATCATATTAAAAAGTTAGCAAATAGATGGCACATCAAAACAAAATAGGCCACAAGATGTGATATGCAGGTCACATCCATGTAAAATGTGACATGAAAAATCACATCCGTGCCATCCAAGGTGAGCTTGCACACATCAAATCTATATGAAGGCAGTTAATCACTGGCCTCTCCACACATTTCAACTTAAAGTAATGAAATGAAAAATAAAAATCTACCTTTCATTAATCATTCCGTTACCAGTTATCACGAAAATGTAGTTACATGTCATATAATGAAGGAAATACCTGTATTAACATAATATCCGAGCAATGTTAATAAATAACGATATTGAGTAATACATGTAAGTATGGAAGAAAACTAATTTCAGAGTAATTAAATGACAAATCAAAAAGTATTGTTTATTGAGCCAGCAAGTAACGAAGTCAGATGAGGAGTATTTAGATATCCAACAGGAGTTATTCACCGACCTGTCAATGTTGGAATGAACATGTTCCTTAAAGTATTTTCAATTGTAAGAGTAGAGCAAAAACAGCAGTTAAATAACTGACCTGTATTTACATTACATCTTTAGTGAGTATCAAAATATTTATTGCGAGTATAACAAAACAGCAGTTAAATCATTGACCTGCATTTAAATTACATCCTAATATCTAACTAATTTTCACGCGTAGAACAAAACAGCAGTTAAATCACTGACCTGTATTTAAATACATCCTAGTATCTAACTATTTATCATGAATAGAACAGAACTGCAGTTAAACACTGACTCGCAATTAAACTACATTCTAGAATCGGACTAATGGGAGTAGAACAAAACAGCTATTAAATGCTAGATATTTATTAATATTTTTTTTATTCATTTATTTACATATGTATTTATTTATTTATTTATTTTTAAGAAGAACAAAACAATAATTACCATTGACCAATATTTGATCTTCATTCTTGTATGTTACAGATTATTTGAACTTATTAAGTTTAAGTGATTTTAAGCAAATATATATATGCCATGCATTTGAACTGATGTCCTTCAAAATACTTATAGAGATTTCTGAACTGTTTGTCTGTGTCTCATGAGTAGCTTACCATATACACATTTGCAGAAGATCCAGATTTACAGATTTCCCTGCTTTGAAAAATTATTATATTATGCTAGCGGCCGGGGGCTACATGTATCTATCGAGAGCATGCATATTTCCAGATCTGTCCCTGACACCCTAATGTAGATTTTCCAAAGGGTTTGGAAAAGTTTTGGAATTCCATGGAATTCCATTCGTTTCCATACCAAAGTCGAATAGTAAGTCTGGAAGTTCTTGGAATATTTTGGAATTTGAAAAATTAAATGGACTTAGACATTTTTTGCTTTGGAAAGTAGTGGAATTCTTTGGAAAAAATGATAAAATGAGAAACTTAGCCATTTTCTGAACTGGAAAACTGCGGAAAATTACTTAGAAATTTTTAACTGTCGACCAATAGTACAATAACATCGGGATCGAAGTCGGGCTCGATGAACAATTAATTTAAACAACAAGCTGAAATTCAAAAATATCGAAGGCAATGTTGATGTTGCACGGAAGGAAAGTTAGAAAGAGAGTGTCTAGAACAGGGGAATCATGATTAGCTTTAGATGGAAGAAGATGAAGACATTTTAAGACCCGGTAGGTACAATATTTTTACTGTATTTTATGTGTCCTTGAATGAAGAACGCTTCTGCTACTGTTCATTAGTCTGGGCACCACACATAAACTGCTTGACGGTGAAATTGTTAGTGCACTATTTCAATTATAATTAATTATTAAAAAACTCTTAAGATCATGGATTTTTACCCAAATGTCCTTGTTTGGGGTCGAACTTATGTAAAGAATTTTACCTATACATTACTTTGTTCAAGTCAAGATAACATTTACAGAGTCATGAGAGTATGATGCACAATGTAATTAATTATATATATTTTAAGGCATGTTCATAATCATTTTCAGCTCTTATTTTAATTATTCTATAGCTGTTGCTGCATTGTGTCTGAGATGATCCCCTCAGCCCTGGCGTTTGATAATTTGGTGCATGTAGATGCTTAGCCAGTCAGTCTCTAGGCTTGTGAATATGGTGAGAACAAGCTCAAATTATCGCTCAAACCAAGTTAACTAACTCTGATTTTATTAATCTATGTCTATTAACATAAATGTGTTCTACGGTGCGACCGTTGGGGGCGAGCGCAGTTATTTACTTTCAAAATCCTTTATACAGATTTTACTTGCACTGCCTATCCTCAGTTCATTAAAAAAGAAGAACAGAATAACAAATCAGTTCCCACTTCCCAGGCATCGGGATAGAGATTCTGAATTTTCGATAGTTTTCTACAAAATCAGAAATACCTGAGCCGTTTAAGTGACAAAAGTATGACATCAAATAAAAAGTCCAGTTGACTCTTCACCGCAAAGGATAATTGGGAGTTTGGAATTTTTTCACGCTGTGAGATAAAAATTTCTTGGAACGATGTGAAGATTTCAACCCAAAATTCCTCTGTTCATAACTATATAGTATATTGAGCTCGTTACACGACGCTCACTGCCCTCGCTATTAAAAAAAATAGTGCAACTTTGCCAAGTAAACAAAATTTAAAGGTTTATTCTTAACACGCTTAAATTCCTTATTCAAATATTTAATAACAATGCATTCTGACAGGTAATCTAAACATGAAAACTGCACAGACATGCCTAATTACTTTAGATCGAATAGCAATCATCTAATATGAAGTATACGTGCATTTTATAGGAATCCGGGTGCTCACAAGGACAAAAGGTGTATGAAAAGAAAAACATAAAGGTAAGATTATCTTTTTCAGTGTTAGTCAGGCATTGAGCTTGAGCTCAAACCTTTTTGTTTTAGCTTACCTGAACCATTTTAAGGCCTAAGTGAGTTTTTTTAAATCAGTGCCTGATGTTGTCTGTCATCTATAAACTTTTCACATTTATACATTCATCAGAATTTATCCTAATTTGAACAAAATATGGCAAGATAGTGAATTAATTCCTATTCCATAGTAAACTGATTTGCCAGGTAAAAAAAATCAATTGTTTTGTATAGCTTTTGTTTATTGTTTGTCATATATTTATATGGATATCAATAATGATGCATCTTAATGGTCATCTTTTTCTTTCAGAAATCGTGTAAGGATCAAAAGTTTGAAGTGTCTGTTGGAATTATCAACATCGAACTTTCTGAGACTTCGTACTGAGAGTGAATCTGTTCGTGACACCAATTATCTGTCAACCAGGTTGACTCAACCTTCTAACATAACCATTTGCTAATTACATAGAATATCAGTGAGGAAGTGATTCTCTAGCAAACACGTCAGAAGTTTTGGATCTTCATTAATTGGGATCTTTGGCACGTGCGTTGGGAGGAAATAGCATCTGTTGATTTTATGGGATCATTGTATCAATATAGTTGTGTAGTAAATATTTTTTGCATGTAATACATGTGTTTGTCACTCTAGTCAATAACTTTGTACCAGTACATAAGCATGATAAGCCACTGGCAGTTCATTGTAAATGTATACTTTGTTGAGTTGTCAATGTCTATTCCAATTCCATAGCCAATTTCATTTATTAAAACTTACTTCTTATTTTAGAAAATGCAGACTGGAGTTTACTAAATTCATGTATATCATGACATAATTATCATTAATTTAACCAAGTACACTGATTTTCCAGTAATCATATTTTCTCTGTAAACAACCTTTAATGTAAAATACTTTCCGTGAGAATATTTTATGAAAGTGTGCTTATATTTTACATCTGAGAGTTATATCATATGCAATATTTGTCTCAAAAAACATTGTAAAAGAAACAATTTTTTTATTTTAAAAATATAGATTTGATCTATGAAACATTGTGATTTTATAGATTTTTTTTGTAATTATTTGGCACTAATTATTTCATTTTTCTTTGTACGTGTATTTGGAATCCTGGAATTCCATGGATTTCCATGGAATTCCTTAGATTTACAAATATCCTGGAATTCCACGGATTTCCTCCGCAAATTTTCATTCTGGCATTGTTCCGCTCTTTTCCAGGCTAGATTCAAAATTCCAAATCATTCCGAAAAAAGTTCCGTCCCAATACTCCAGAGAATTCTAAAGAATTCCGCGGAACAAAAATTCCATGGAATTCCATGGAATATGCTTTGGAATTCCATGGAAGTTGCGGAAAATCTACATTAGGGCAATGACAAATGAAACATATCTTAATGAATTATCTAAATGGTGTGTAGCACTTTGTTAATTTAGTAGTTTCAATTATTATCAGGATTAATGGTTGAGATCTATTATGTCAACAAACTTAAATTTTGACAAATTCAACCTAGTGATGAGTGAAAATGCTTTTCGTATAAGAAGCATTTTATTCATAATATACAAAGTGTACAATATGAATATGGATTGAACAGCAGGCCAAGGGCCTGTATTAGTTCTCTCCTTTTGAGATCAAGGTACAATAAAATTACTGTACATACTTAAGTTCCACAAAACATGTAAAATAAATTGATATTGAGAGAATTATGAAAAATACATGATTGAAGAAGAATCATGTTGAGAGTGCTCATGTGTAGGACACTACGTCAGATATCATTCTACTTACTACAACCTTGAATTATTTAACTTTATATATGTGAATGTTTATTTTATTTATTTATTTTTTTATTTATTTATTTTTTGTAAACCATTAAGAGTATCTTCCAAATTGTAATATTTTAAAAATTTGTATCAGAAATTCAAAAAAATATAAACAAACCCCAAAATATTTGCATAACAGCCCTTTCTCTTAGAACTATCTGACCCAAAAGAGTGTATCCATTAATTCCTTGAAGTATGCGCTTTTCATGGAGGAATCTGCCATATTTCTATTCCAGAAAGTATAAAGAAGATGTACACGGTGAAGGTTAAATTATTATGTTCCTAAGCGTTTTGAATTGAATGTAAAATTCCTAGATTATACTAAGTTCACCATGTAATATTGTGTCAATTGAAAAGTCGGTTCTTAAGTTAAGAATTTATTGTAAGTCCAAAAATCTAAATTTTACAAATATGATTTGGAACAAATTTCGTAGATAGACTACAAAACTGAATAACACAAGAATGTTCCTAGATTGCCTTCCTTACAAACTCACAAATCTGTTCTTGACAACTCTGCCTACTTTCATACTGACCGGCCAATTAAAATTAAGGATGGAAAATGTCATGAACATAGGGAATCTGTAAGACATTAATTTACCACACTGAAATTAGGTAGAGCAAAGCATAGCAAATTCAAAGAACGCAATCCTAGGATGTAACCATAAATTTGATAACAAGATTGAGTTAATAACATTGCTATCGTCAGACAGGAAAGAGATGTCAAGAATGAAATACTGCCACCATGTGCAAAAAATGCCTTTCCTAAATATCAAAAGAAAACGATTATCTTTCAACTACAGATGTCAAACAAGACCGAAAATTAATAGAATTTTCATATAAAGATATGTTGGAGAAAATTTTACATGGGGTTAATTAAAGCAAATTAATATTAAAAGATAAAGACCGCAGAAACGTACAATGTACAACATGAGCTAGTAACTCCAAACAATGTCTAACATTATGCTGTCTATTAGAAACTTTTTAAAATAATTTTATTATTATTATTATTATTATTATTGTATTCTAGCCTGGCAATGCTTAATTTCCGAAAAGGGACGCAAATTGAAAAACCTTTCATTTAATGTACTGACCGTGCATGAGGTCTGTACTAATTTATAAAAATAAATTAAACCTATATTTACCAGCTATATAGGGAACTTATTTGAATTTTTATGGAGGGGGGATCTTCCTATATTATTTACTTGCTGACTCGCCTGTAAATGTCTTATTTGAAACCAATTTGAATGATTTAGCTGGTATGAATGCTATGTGAACCAACGGTAGTGGATATCCTGGTTACACGGCTGATTTGGGGCACACCTGTAGCAGCACTGCAGCAGTTTAGCTAGCAAACATATGAATCTTATACCGGCTGATCGCATGAAAGTTGTTGGTAAAGTCAAATTGTATCTGGAATAACACTAGTAGACGGGCTGGTTTAGGACATTATCCACCGGTGGCGCGGATCTTATGCAATTTGTTAGATAAAACAGCTCGCTAAGTCAATATTTGTTAAACAATTCAAACCTGTATCAATAACATTAGATTCATGGCATCCGGCACAATTCTGCTGGGCTCTCTGGGCTATTAACAGTTAAAGCTACGCTTCCTCTTAACTCGGGCTGCTAGGATGTAGCAAATATGCACACTGGCAAATTCATCAAAAGGCATCTGCAACTTAAACATGAAAATTATATAAATACTTTTTAAGTCTAAGGTGTCATTTAAAGAAAGGACGCCAAAAACCAACAACTGAGTTGTAAACAAAGTGATACATCATGTTCATTATCATGCTCATAGAAAAACTAAATGTAACACCTTGAACAGAAAGAGTAAACTTTTTCCTGTATTACAATCATACTGATAATAATCGATTAATTCCCCGCTGAGAGGATTCGCTTTGACGAAATTCTACATGTTCCGGGATTCTACCAATTTCAACAAACGAAATATTAAAGAATAAATCTATTAACTCCATAACACAAGATAAAAATGTCACATGTATAGGAGATACACTTTTTGTAACACGTACTTTGTAACAACTAAGAACTATTGTGATACTCTTACTTGAAATTGACTGCAATGAACATGAAATGAAGTTGCCATTATGTTTAGATGTAATAGGGCATATATACTACCACTTATACGTGCCTGTCTCGGATAAGTGAGTTTATTTCAGTAACCCTATGTCCTTCCATTCCGGATATCTTAAGCCCTTACAGATATATAATCATATGTGCCTTTAGTCCTAACCTATCAATCCGGAAAACATAGGCTATTTACATGTACTAGTCTAATACTTAGTTGTTACCTCCTCTTCCTCTCTTGATAAATCGATAAAACGGTAAGGTCATGGAAAATTTTGTGAAGTTGAATTGTTGCAATATGTTAATTTTCCAAATGAAATAAGGTTGATTTCATGGGTAACTATCAAGGTTTGTAATTTCAAGCCAATTTAGACGCGTCGATGGTGTAATTTTACCTTGGATTTGGCCCGAGATTTTTTGCTAAGATCACGTCGATGGAATTTAAACACATGGTTTAATCTCATAATCTGAATTATAGATAACAGCAATAATAAATATATGGGAGTCAAAGCATGGTTTAACGTTAGTAATCATTTTTAGGAGAAAAAGTTAAACAATCCCCGATTCGTTTTTTTAGGGGTGGGGGGTGGGGGGGTCAAGCGCAGAAATATTTAGTCAGGCATACAATTTGTCAAATCCGTTTTAAGTTTTGTTTTCCAATGTAATGAAGTATGAAGAAGGTATTTACATATTTAGCCAACATTTAATAGTCTTTAAATGGCATTGTCTAATGAACATTCACGAGAATTGCGTCATTTTCACTTATGCAGTAATCAAAGTACTGAAAGTACTAAGAGGATGTTTGTTAACATCATTGTTGTGAGTCATTTGCAGTTCGGTATCGTTTAATTTGCTTGCTGGTCTAGGAAAACAATTCAATAAAATGCATAAAGGCATACACGAAAATATTTTATCAAAAAATATTTGGGGGAGGGGGTGTTACAACAATTGATTTTTCCCAAAACAAAAAGGGGGGGGGAGAGTTGGTTCGAAATGAACATAATCAATGGTGTAACCCTGGGAACTGTCCACCTGATCAATTGTGGTATAAAAAATTACAACTTTAAAGTCAAATATATCTGATTATTTCTTTTAGGGTGAGCTAAAAAGGCTCTAACACAAGAGAGCTGTAAATTTGGTTTCATAATCCTTAGAGTAAAACAGCAATAATTAATCATTCATTTGCGTTAGACTAGATATGCTGGGTTAAGCCAAAAGCAAGGAGTAAATTATATTTGTACAAGACGCACTAGGGTAAGAAGTGTAACTACTTTCTCAATCTTTATACTCGTCGGAGGTCCTTTAAAAAATGAAATTAAAATTCACAAAAAAAAAAAAAAAAAAAAAATTTATGATTGAGTTTTTTATAACTTTTGATAGGAATGACTGGGCCGCAAATTAAATCTTGTTTCCAAGCATTTAAATAGAAATATTAATAATT